GGGCCTGGCCGCCCCCTTCTCCCCCCCCCCCCCCCCGTCTCGGCCTGAGGGAGCGGGAGATACCTCGGGTGCTGCCAGACCCCTTCTGTCTCCCAGCAGGAGGGAGGCACCTGCCTGTCTCCTGTCTGCCTGCTCTTCTCCCTGGGGAGGCTGGCACCTGGGCAGGTGGCCTATGCAGAGGGTCTGCCTCTGAAACGGGCCTTGTGGCTCATGGAAGCTCACCACTGCCTCAGGAGATGAAAACAGTTTTGCCACCAGCCCTTCTTTGAAGGAAGCTGGTTCAGGCTGCAGTCTCTACTAAAAGCTTTTTTTTTTTCCACTGGTCCAAAAGTCTCTGGGGGGAGGGATAGGACAAAATCCATCTTCCCATCTTGGAGTGCAGGTGAGCCACCCAAAATGGAGATCATAGGAAACTTACTGCATAGCTTTACACCCTTGACACCAGTGACTACCAAGTGTAAGCCTAATGTTGAACTTTAAACATTGCATCTCCTTATCTCCCCTGGAAATGGGATTTAAAATCTTCACGTCTTGATGCCTTTTGCAAGCTCTGTCCTAAAAGCGTTACTAACTTTAATCAATTCTAGGGAGAAATATAGCTGGTCAACAATTGACCTGCTAATTCTGAGACCGCAATACCACATGTGGTAGGTAGATATTATAAAGTGGCAGTTGGTAGTATTTTGATTGGCTTGACTGCATTTTGTCTTTTAAATGCATTGAGCCTGCTATTGCACAGCAGTAAGTCACCCTGCATCATAGCACAGAAATCATGCAGTCTGACTGACGCACCCATCTTGCTTCCAATTATTGTGGGACTTACTGTCTGACTTCCATACATGCTTTTAAATGGATAAGTTCAACTGTATGCCTAATGAGAAGTATGGGTGACTAGTTTGAATGACACTGTGGACTTACAATGGCAACTTGGTGATTTTGTTGTAACAAGGTGGGTAAGGAGGACCATTCTTCCCACTGTATGGTGGAAGAAATCTAAGGGTAATTCTACTGACCACCATCTCCAGCAGAACTGAGGCTCATGAGTATTAGCTGCCACCTAGAATGCAAACTAAATCCAAAGGTACTAGGAATTGAGGATGACTTCCATGTCAAATGAAAATGCAGGCATTAATATGTGGATGGAGGAAAAAAAATGTAACTGGCCTAGTAATTAGCAGGTTGTTCCTTAGTAGGGAAAACCAAGGGAGATGTGAGCTCTTGGAGTTTAATGAGGTGAATGCATTAACTCATCATATTTATGTAAATATGGCTTTCCATCTGAGACTTCAATGGATGTTAGCCTAGATTTAATTTTAGAACTGCCAAACATCAGCTGTTTACAAATGTCTTCCTACTATTAGAAAACTGAACCCAACTTTGTAGGCACATGCTTCATGAATGAGGTGGCTCAAGTTTTAAATGACTTGCTGTAAAGACAATATAGGTAAGTGTTTTGTGGTGGTTTTTTTTTTTTTTTGTTTTGTTTTTAAATCTTCCCACTTCTTTAAACTTAACTTGAACCAACTCGGAGTGGCTGGATCCTATCAGTTGGCATAACTCCATCAAGAGTTTTTGCCATAAATGTTAATTCCCTAAATACAGTTTGTTAGATCTATACAGCATCCTAGCTTTGTAAGTAAGCTTTTACAATCGAGTAATGTTTCCTGCTTACCTGACATCTGTACTGTAGATGAAGGAACATTTATTTGACTCGACTTCACTTCAAAAGCCTTTATGATCAGATGCACATGACCGTATCGTAATGCGCTAGATGGTTAAGAACACCTATGATAGGTGTACTGTTAGATAACATATATCAAAGTGTTTCTAGAGGTTGGTGAACTGAATGACAATGACCTCAAATCTCCTAAATTCTAGAACTAGGAGACTTGATCCTTGTGCCTACTGCTTGGTCTTCTATTGGAAGAAGAAAATCAAGCTTTCCTGCACTTGAACTTCACATGCCTTCTCCACTCTTCTAGTAGAAAAACTAAAGTGATAAAGAGGATGCCTCTTCTGCAAATGAAGAGTGCTACTATTGTCAAAAGAGATGCATTGATAACTCTAACCAGTTCAGTGGTTAGACATGACTATTGCATCTCTGCAGCTGACTATATGGCTTAAGTAGAGGACTGTTACACTATATTAGTTTAGTTGAATTAAAGCACATTTTTTCTTAAAAATAATCTCTTTAAATGAGACTTTAGTTATGTGTGCTGTGTTCAAGTCTTCTATGCTAGATAATCTTGACAATCTGAGATTAAAGGCTCTAGTTCTTGCAGCTGCAAGACAGGTAACAATATATAGGTACATGGGCATACTCTTGAGCTTCAATCATCATGAGAGAGCTTCCCAGAAAGAGACTTCAGGAACTGCTGTCAGTTGTGCAACAGACCTATGACTTAAGATGAGTAAGGATTGTGATGAACTGAGTAAGGCCTCTGCATGTTTAGTTGCAGCGGAGTCCAAGGACAGAGTTCACAGAACATTTCAAAACTTGCAGATTGTTTCTTGGAAACCTTTGGTTCCTAAAGTTAAGCGACTAATACTTGGGAAAAGTAGTTATGGTTTTTGAGAACTTTGTGTACAAAAGGTCACACTTGCCTATGGTGGCTTTCCCGATTTGTAGTGGTAAAATGTGATCAAGAGATACTGTTTGGTAAGGTGGCTAACTCAAAGTAATTGAGTTCTTAAGTGTATAGGAGCTGTACTATCTTCTCTTCTGATAAGGTTCAGAGATGCACTACATCTTATATAACTGGGTAACTGCATACCACTGGCTGAGTGCAGTACAGTTAGGACAAGGTGTGGAATTGGAATGAGTAATAGTCAATAATATGGAAGTAGACTTAATTTACCTTGGTTTGTGACCTTTATTTAAGAGCTAGTAGACTTGTGCAACAAACTATTGCAGATGCATTTTAATATTTAGATATTGGGTACTTGAGGTTTTGATGGAATAGGGTGGTTGTTCATGACCTTGCTTAGCCTCATCATAAATGTTGGAGCAAGGCTAGCAGAGTATATAAGCAAAAACTAACTTGGTTCTTCCTGTCTAAAGTAGTTTTGTGTGTGACCAGTCTCTGCTTGTTTGTGTGGTGGTCTTTTTAAACAAACAAAAAAAAAAACAAAACCAACAACTTTTCTTCTTTCCAAACTACAGGAAAAATGAGGAGAACATTCCTATAGTCTCCACTTCTAGACTGCAGTGTAGAAAAGTCTTAAGACTTTTCTGATATACTACAGCGTAAATGAAGGTAGCAAAATGGACTAGCTTGTCTAGCCATGCAAAAATTTAAGTGGGTTAGACTGGAAAAGATCTAGTTTTCAAGTATGTCCATTCTACTCATTAGGCAGAATTAGTGGTTAAAGTAGAATATCTTGGTACATGTGGCTACTACCCTACTTTATTGTTGAAGCAAGGCTTTGCCTCAGTAGATATTCCTGACTCTACCAAAAAAACAAACTCCCAAAACTTTGAGGGCTGTCTAGGTAGAAGCAGGAAAACATGGAAGAATAAAACAAAAAATCTGACTTCTATGCATGCACAGACCAAATAATAGGTTTTCAATTTCCTGATACCTGCAAATGTAAGAATTTTTTACCCCAGTCTGTAGCCTTCATTCCAGAAGGGGGAATAACTGTTACCCTGTCTTGTTTTCTACCTAATAATTAACTGAAATGGTTCTGTTGGCAAACTGGGTCAGCATATGGATTTAAGATGTAGATAGATAACCTGGTCCAGGCTGCTTAAGGTGGATAACAAAGTACCTAGTCTCATCTGAAGGCCTAGGTAAACATAGGATTTGAAGTCTGCCTGACTCTCTTCTTATCCTTGAGTCATGTCTCTCTTGTAGCTCTGAATGCTGTGCCTCAGGTGGTACCATGTGGTAGATGACCTGTGACATCCTTTTAAATGGTGACTTGAGCAGGGCAGGAGTTTTTGTAGAGGAGCAAGTTACAACTAGGAGAACAGTGGAGCTTAGGGAAGCTTGGCCATCTGGTAACAGCTGCAATAATTAAGCAAGAGTGTTACTTGGATGCATACTGTTTACTACTACACTAATCATTTTGCAGGAGTATCACTTGTCTGTCTGGTGGAGTTCTTACAGTTAGTTACTAACTATGTCTTGATGCATCTGACTCCCTCAAGAAGATGCTTGATGCCTTGAGGTACTCTAAAATGGGAAGCTCTCTTCCTGAGATGAAGGTAGAGGTAAAAGATTAAATGGGGCATTCCCACTCTTGCCCCCATCTCTTCCTTGAACTGCTAAATTCCTCTCTTAAAGGAAGATCAGGATTTAATTACCTTGATCAATATCTGGGGAGGAGGGAGAGCAAGATGAGCTTCTGCAAATGGAAGTGATTCTTCTAGAGCTGTGTGGACTAAAGTTCAGACTTGTAATAACTGAACTGTACAAACAAGACTATACCTAGATGGGACAATGGATTAGAGAGTATGAGGAAACTGAGCACTATTATTATTAATTCTCCCTCTAATTTCTAAAACATGTAGATTGCCTTGCTCATACTGATTGGTGTGGTTTTTTTTTTTTAAATGTGCCCACATGAAATACTAGAAATGGAAAGTGGAATTTAGAGAGAAATAACATTGATCTCCAAGTTGAATCTGAAGTAAAATCTATCAGTTGTATCCTGTCCCTGAAACAGCTTACTGAATAAGTGAGATGGCAAGACCAGTTTTCT